AATTGAGAAAAAAGTATTGTAAAACTGTAGGCAAAAGCCATTAAATTATTCTAATTTCTTGGTAACAAACTGAAAGTTATTTTTGAGATAACAAGCAACATCCTGCAAAAAATTTTTTTAAATAAATTGTACTCCATCATATTATGGCAATTGGTACGTAACGACTCGGCGATATGCCCACAAACCGATTACTCTTTTTAACCGACTTCACAAAACGGAGGAGGTTATCAGTTCGTCGGAATATTTTGTTTTTTTTTTTTGTGTATGTTACCGCATAACTTTAGACGACGTTAACCGATTTCTATAATTCCTTTTTTCAAGGAAGGTGCTACCTCACAGGTAGTCCCATCCAAAATTTGGTTTACATCCGATCATTAGATCATGAAGAAATTAACGATAATCTTGAAATTTTATATGAGAAATAAAGTCGGTTTTGTTTTTTGCTTAAAAATTACTTGTTGTTATGTATTTCTTGCGCATATCAAACATTATCTGAAACATCAACTATAATTAAATTATTTTTTTCCTACTTTTTACAATACAGTTTATGCAAGTTTATGTGTGAAATAATATTCCATAAACAAAATACATGGGGAAAAATTACCCAACAGCGAGTACCAAGTTCGGTGGGAAGACTGCTATTACAAATGGGTATGCTCAGAATTGAAAATTCGGTACAAATCAGCACAATTTTTTTTAAATCAGGACCTTAGCGTTCTGATTAAAGAAATGACTAAAGTCAGTACGAGAGATAAAAAACCAGTACTGTACTCATCAAATCAGTACGTCTGGCAACCGTAGTCGCCATTGTGAATAGTTTGATGGGTTGTGGTCCTTTTGAACAACATCTACCCCTTATCTGACATACCAGTTCATGGCAAGAAGGCTGTAATGGCTCAATGCTAAATCGGGTCAGAATAGAACTGAGCCTTTATGTTGCTTTATGAATGGCAGCAAACGTTATTGCAACCACGTCTTCATATAAATTTCTTGATTTTTAGAGCCCGTGCCCCACTGGCAGATGGCTTGCCACACCAAGTATATATTAGGCGAAAAATAACAAAAAACAAGGAGCTTGTCCAACATTTTTAGCTTGAAGCCATCTTGGACTCCATTTGTCTTCGTTGCATCATAAAACTCAGCGCCCCGAATCTGCTTAAAGGCTGCTTCGACGTACGTTTCCTCGTCCACAAATACATATGTACTTTTTCTTGCTTTGTGCAGAAACTTTTCTCCGCAGGCTCAGACTTCGGCGAACACATTTCGAAGAATACGTAGAAGTTACAAAAAGTACATACGCGAAATTAATAAAGACAATATACCCTATGAATGTGTATACTTACTACATATATATTTTCAGTTAGTTTTATGCAAGTGATGAGTAAACATAATCGACTAGTTTTTTTCGTGTCCATTCTTTATACACATTTACTTATTTTTGTTTGTAAAATCTTGTTTGTGAAGGATAAACAAATTGCTTGAAGTTCGAAACCAAATTAGATTTTCTTTTGCTTTTGTATTGGAGGGTACTTTCATATTCCTTGGCTTTCGGATTTGTAAAAAGAGACGGGGATATTGAATATGTATCAAGTAAGGCGGGCAGGACAGTACAAATCTTCCTGCAATAAAATTCACACTATTTAAAATCTCTAGCATACGAAGGTAAAATTCGGTTTACTGAAACCCTGGTTTTTCATTTGATTTCTTTGAAGCGGTTTAAATCCGGTATAGAAATTTGTGAATAATCGCAGCCACTTTTTTACAGACCGTTTTTATCCCTACGTCGAACACTCTCTTTGGCAGCTTTGGCTGTATGGAGACGACGATGTCTAATCTATCTAGGGATGCAAACGATATATCGATATTAGCTATATCGATATTTTTATAGCGATGTTTTCAATACCGATATATCGACATCGACGATATATTTTGTCGGCACTAGAATATTTATATTTGGACGAACTTTTTGTTTCCTCTAGACACAATGTTGAAATGATTACTTGCAAAAATGAATCGGTCAAAACTGTTATCACCCATATGGCATCACTGTTTAGACACATCAATAAATGAAGTCTTTAAGTGTAAAACAATGTTATAATAAGTTCATACTGTTAAGAGTTAGCAACTGAAGATCTGTCTATTTGTGAGGTATTAAAGTTTACTTTTTATTCGTTAAGTATTTATCTACGCAATGAACAAACTCGTTTTTTGTCTGAATTATTTTATTTTAACATTTAAAAAATTTAGAGTTATTCTCCAAAGGAATATATCGTTACCAAAAGGTGACAGGTGTCAAGTCCATGTATACATATTCGAGGTTTACGCCGATAGCTATAGCCGCGGCGGCGACGCCGATGTCTCAAATAGCGCCGCCGCATTTGGCCATTAGCCACATACCATAACGAAGGATGGGGTTAAGTATGCGTAGAAAGACCGAAAAATTGTGTAAGCGCACCTTTGTCTGATGCACTCATGCACCCTAAATGCGATCTTGCATCTACCTAGACATCATTTCATAAACATATTATATATATTAACACGAATTGTGAAAGTGGCGAATTAACAAGGAAAGATCACCGTAGGTATATCAATTGCTTCATTTGAACGATATTCAAGAGATCACACGACTCGTTTAGCCAATGTACGGGAAAATGTTTCATCTTGTGGGACAGCGAGGATTCTTGGCCCTCCTATAACAGAAAATGTGCTCTTGAGTTTCCTTATAAGAACTTTTATTGGCATACGAATCGCACCAATGTTGTAGTTGCAGGATCATAGAAAAATATTACGCATGCTTGGCAGAGACCTCACAGGTGAAAATAAGACCATCGGTAAAGCTCATGTCATCGAAAGGGATTAGTATTCCATATGGTATCACAGCGTCACTATTCTTGGCCTATGTGTGAGGAGGATACTGCACTTTAGTGGTTTCAACTTAAACTAAACATTTTGACTTTACAGACTGTTTTTGCTTTTAAACGCTCTTTTGCATTGGCCAACGCAGAAGTTCTTTTTAGGCGCGGCGAAGCAAATAGTTTAAAATAGTTCATTCTTTAACAAAACCCGTGTAAATCCAAGCTTCAAACTTTTGGTAATATTAAAAATACATATATAGGTATTCAACAAAAATTTCGAGCTTTTTAATTAGAATTCTTAGAAAGTTTTGGGTATGTAGTTTTATAGCCCATTGAATTCAAGTAGAATATAGAGCAAGTCTCAAATGGCTTAAAATTACCCCTGATTTTTTAGAAGTTCTTTTATTGAAGATTTTGCGAGTTTCTTTCATATAAAAATACATTGTGTTTATTGTTTATTTTACGAAAGTTTGTTAATTTTTTTAATATTGCACAATGTTTGAAACATGGATTTACACTAAATAGCAAAAAGATAAATAAATTGCTAAAACTTTTGGTGCGGCTATAATTTTTTTGGACCACTGTATATCATTAATATTTTGTACATTAATCCTCAGGCGCCGAAATTGAAAAATTACAAAAAAGGCGGCAGAGCACAGTGGCGAAAATACTCCATCTTGCATGAAAAAAGTCAGACTTTGTCTTGTTAAAATCGTGCAAAATTGTAATGAGAATTTTTTGTCAAATTCCCATAGTTTATAACTGTGTTTCTGTTTTTCTGTTGCACCCCTTGCTTTAGAATCGGTGAGGAGTAAAAATAGAGCAAACTGGATCAGCTGTAACTAAACGGGTTCACGTGTTAATCAATTATTTCTGCAATAAATACTTAATTACATTGTTTTCAAGCATTTAACGATATTGGGGGTATTTTTAATTTTTTCTATATCGTTTCGTGACTAAAGATTCTTTCCGTCTTGTGTAAATAATTGTTGAAGCGCTGTAGTTGTGGTATGTAAAATTTTTATGTGACTCACATTTTGAATGAGAGTTTTGAAAAGGAGTACCCCGGAGTACCCTTAAATTTTTATTTGCGTTCTTTAGAGTAGTTCATGTATTAAAGAAATCATTAAAGTTAAGCTACCACCAAGCGCCACTTTAAGTAATATTTTTATTTTTTTTTTATTTTTTGGTAGCATGTCTATAATAAAAAGGGAACCATATAATGTGTGGCTGAGTGAAAACAACACAAGAAAAAAGTCTCAACACTAAAAAGATACGTATGTAATAAGCTTAAGCTGGAGGAAGACGAACAAAATTTTTTGTATCCAAACTTACGTCCAAATGGAAAATATGTAAAGGAACCAATGAAAAGTTCCAAATAAAAAATGAGAAATGGTTGGCTGTTGTGTGTTCATATCCGAAACTAGATGAAAACGACAAGGAAATTGGAGAAACATGGGAATCATCTTGCTCTAAAACAGAAAGGCCTTGGGGGCCGTTTTTCGAGAAGTGTTCTAGTGCAAAACTCCTCGAAGTTCCTCTTGTTGGCGATAAAAGCAGCGAAAAACTCGTTCCATCAACGAAAGTAAGCTTATATAAAACCGGAAAACGAGATGCTGCGAAAATGTTGGGCGAGATGTAAGTTTAAGAGTATTTCCCACTGTGCGGCGACGGCGTGGCTCGGCGGCGTATACCTCTAATACATATGTGTACATGTATTTTCATGGACAATATATTTGTACATAGCAAATTACATACACTTATGTAAATAGAAAAAATCTACAAAAAAATCTTAAACCGATATACAATATCGATATAATATCGATATTTTTCGTCGATATATCGATCAGCCGATATTTGTTTGGTTAATATCGACATCACCAAAATCGATGATTTTATGAGCGATATTGCATCCCTAAATCTATCCCTTTTCCACGTTGTTCAGCCTTGAGTTCAACGAGGATGTACGATTTACAACGCTTTATATCTACATATTGCCAAGTGGTTACATTTTTAGTAATGCGAACAGAGTTAACTACGAGCCAAAAAGTTATCTAGATGAGGAGAGCCACTAAAATTTAATTTATGGTTAGGCCATATACCAAGTTTAGAATTAGAGCTTAATCATTAGCTGCATTAGCTTACCGTGCATGTAGGATATGAGCACATGGTAGGGCCTCAATCGAGTTCGGCTCTAGCCCAAAGGTTTCCCCACATGCACCGCATAGCAATCCGAGAGCTGCATCAGTTTGGCCGGCTAAGCGTGAATGTGTGTTGTATTGTTCCTCATCGCCCAAAGCACGGTATATGAGAGCCAGTCGGCTACGTATCCTACGCACCAAGAGCTATAAATAAGTAGAAAAAATATTGAGTGGTTGGCTGAGAATTTATTCTTATAATGGTAAGAAAATAATGTCCAGATTCTACCTTAGCGCCAATGGAGCTTGCGACCTCGAGCAAACGTGTGTTGAACTCCAGTGGTCGGCAATTACAAATCTTCTGCTGTAACCTTAGTGCTTCTAAACAGCGTGCTGCGCCGTCCATTGCCTCCATTTGCGCCATACGATCGCCAAGTGCTGCCGAAGTACCCATCGCTTGTTCATATTGTCGAAAAGCGCGCTGTAATAATTGGGTATAGATCTTTAAAATAACAGTTCTGAAAATCGTGTAGTGAGAAATAGGTACGGTTTATAATGTAAAGTGTTGTTTTTTAATATCAACGTTAAACATTTTTACATTTTACATGAAAACCATTGAGGAAACGCCAGCTACGATATTGAAAGAAAATATTCGAATGTAATTTTGAAAACCCTACCGACTTCGTATCGGTCAAGCCTGTATATTCACACTTTTAAATAAAAAAAAAACTGCGGTGAATACAATAGTGACTCACATCCATGTCCACTTTCTTGCGATAGATATCCCCCATAACTCGCAAACTACGTGTATATGTCGCTTGATCACCAGAGATCAGCGAAAGACGCGTGGCTTCCTGAAACAAAACAAGCCCATTCTCATATCAATGCCACAATCTCCAACAATACTAGATCCTATACGTACCATACAATAATCATGTGCGTCACCCAGGTCACCTTGTTTGCGAAGAGCGGCTGCCATACGCAGCAGCGCGGCCCGATGATGCGACGAATTGAGATCACCCAGCTGCAACGAACGTGATAAATCATAGGCCTTAGATGCATAGGTTGCACTCTTATCATTATCTTGCAGACGGCCGAATAACTCTGAGAGCGCAACGTACACCTGCAACTCCAGCGATGGATCGCCAATGGCAGTGGCTATCTTATGCGCTCCTTGGAAACCCTCAAGCGCACGCGAAAATCCACCCATCTCCAAGTAAACCCTTGCCACTGTCAGATGCACTAAGCCTCCCGTGCGGCACTGGGTACCGCATTCGTTGTACAGTGAGTGACGAGCATAGCTTAGTGCCCGTTCCAGGCCACCTAAGCGTTCGTGGGCTCTGGCCAAGTTCAAATAAGTCTCCGCACGCATCGCGGGTGAGTCCAATTCCTCAGAAATGCCTAATTGTCGATGCCCGAACTCTATCGCTTCGCGGTATTTTCCCCAATCCATGTGTGCCTGGTAAAGATAGCCTAATAATTGAAAGCAATCTTCGCGACGATTTGCTGCTTTTAAAGCGCTTCGCCATATGCGTACAGCAGCATTTTGATTGTGCTGCTCATATAGACGCAGTCCTCGCTCAATCTTTTGGTGGATATTTTAGAAAGAGAAGTTTAGTTTTACAATATTTCTAAATATAGAAATATCGCTGAGTTCACCTTTCGTCTTGCCATATACTGCTTTAGACTGCGTTGACAGACCAAGAAACAGTTTATTATGGAATTGTGAGATGAGACAATACCATGTCGTGCCCAAAGCGATGTGCCGTCTGGACTTGACCCACAACCAGCCAGCCGTGAATAGCTCTCATCTAATTGACACAAATCTACAAAGTAATTCATAATTAATCAAATTGTTAAAAAATGACTGACATCACTCACCATTAGAATTTTCCAATAGGTAACGTGAACCGTCCGGGGAGGCAAGCAAATGGGTTGCTGATAAATTGTGGCTATGAGGTATACTAGCATAAGAAATATTAAATTAAAACATTTTGTAATATTTTTAGAATAATGGACATCAATTAATGAAAGCGAAAAACGAAATGTATAGCTGCAACAAGTGTACAGCTGTCCACCGAAGCTCGTTACATCGAGATACATTATGGGTGAATACCCTCTTTTGTGTATTCGTTGTATCTTGGGTAAGAGTAACTGTATGGGTCTGTTATTGTTGTTGCAAGTTTATTTGTTGTACCATCAGCAATAACAAATCACCCGCTCATTCAGTTACACTCACGCAAGGTGCATTGAATACACAAAAGGGGCAATTACTATATTGCCACCAATTCCACCAATGCAACAACAATTCAGGCCACAACCAAAATCCTCAAATACAGCCGGTTTCCTAGCAAAGTTACAGCCAGAACAAAACAGCAAAACTAACAACATCGAAAACAAAAATAGTGTTTATGCTGATACGGTAAACGGAAAGGCAGAGAGTAGCAAAGAGTGTAAAACAACCGTACAACGCTGGTAATACTTATAGGTCACTTAAGGATACTTTGCACTGCACTGCATATAATGTCGGTTTTACGTATAAATCAAAAACCAACACACTTTTACATATGTAATGTTATGCGTTGGGTAAGCGCTTACTCGCAAAGCTCATGTGACGGATTCCTTATGTGACAACTCTCGTGCAATTCCAAGTATGCATAACTGAGCCCATACATTGTTCTGAAGAGCACTATCACATATCGAATCTGCTTAGTGAGTTTTGCATACAAGCGATTAACCGGCGCAGCGCATGACAGGGCATGCCAGCCAGGTCTCATTTCTTTTGATTATTTACCCTTAGTCTCAGAGGCGTAAATATAGGGTGGCATGGCTGGCTAAATACCACGGGCCTTCGATCCGAGGGGACCCCGGCCCAACAGACCGCGAGCTCAGAAATATCTTAACATTTTTAGCAAAACTAAGTACTTAGAAGCTATAATTTTTAAGTACTTAAAATCAATTTAAGTGAGACACAACTAAAGACCATATGAGCATTTCCATAGAATGGTCAACCAGGACCGAGAAATAAAATTAACAATTTGTATGGGAGCTATAAGTTATAGTGGACCGATTTTGATCGTTCCGACAAATTATTAATATATTATAAAAACACACTCGCTTACCAAATTTCAGTCGGATACCTCGAAAACTGAGGGACTAAATTGCGTTCAAACAGACAGACAGATGGACTTGGCTAAATCGACTCGGCTCGACATTTTGATAATTTTGGTAAAAATTTATGTGGGTCTATATCTTCTTCTTCTGGTACTTACAAACATTGGGCCAAATTTATAATACCATTTCATGTTCATGAAAGGTATAAAAAATGATGGAAAAATCGTACGTTCTCGACCCGTACGTTCGCGACCGGTACTTAAGCTTATAAATAAAAAACTAATAGAGATATTTTAACGCGCAATTAGTGAGGAGGAAGTACCTTTATTCCACATTAATATCAAATTAACCGCTTTAGAATATTCTGTTCATTTCGCAGTTTCTTGTATTTTTCAATTTGCAGCCAAAAGCGACTTCCCTTATTATTCGTACGTTCGCGACCGCATGTTTGTGGCTAACATATCTATACATATGATAAAATTGTAACAGGCCGATGTCTGTACATTAAAGATCTTTATTAGAGCAACAGAAGCCAAATCCACCATTTTTAGAATTTTTGTCTGTCTGGCTGTATGTTTGCACGCCCGTCACTCGAAAACTAATGCATGGAATTGAATGCAGTTTTCCCCGATGTATTGCTAGAGGTCCGACTTAAGATATAGAAACAAAAAAATTAGAGAGTTGCCACCTGGTTGAAAATTTCAGGTTAAGTAATTTGATAAGAAAAAGTGAATATTGCAATATGGGCGTCAAAAGAAAGAGGTTTAAGAAGCCTTACAGACGGAATTTTTTTTTTTATTGTTGCCACCTGTTTAAAAACTTTAATTCAATGAAATTTATAAGACAAATTGAATATTGTAGTATGGGCATCAAACTGAAGAGGTTTGGGAAATTTTATTGCCAAAAATATTTTTGGAGGAGGGTTGCCACCTGTTTGAAAAATTTTATTGAATTAAATTGATCAAATAAATGAAATCAATGTATATCTATACTTATAATAAAATTGTAACATACCGATGTGCCCAATTAACAATTTTTAGAATTTTTGTCTGTATGTCTGTCTGTATATTTGTGCGCGCTTCACTCAAAAACTAATGCATGGAATCGAATTCAGTTTTCACCGATGTATCGCTAGATGTCTAACTTTCAATATAGAATGAAAAAATTAGAGAGTTGCCACCTGTTTGAAAATTTCATTTTAAGTAAATTGATACGATAAAGTAAATATTGCAATATGGCTGTCAAAAGAAAGAGGTTTATAAAGGCCTACAGCTGAAAATATTTTTGTGGAAGGTTGCCACCTGTTTGAAAGCTTTTATTTAATTTAATTGATAACATAAATTAAATAATGCAATACTGGCATCAAACTAAAGAGGTGAGGAAATTTTAATTCCGAAAATACTTTTAAGGCATCTGCCACCTGTTTGACAAATTGTATTCATTTAAATTGGTAAAATAAATGAAATATTACAATACGGATATTAAACTAAAGAGGTTTAAGGAGCTTGCTTTCGAAAATACTTTTTAAGCGGGTTGCCACCTATTTAAAAAATGTTATTCAGTTAAATTGCTAAGATAACCTAAATGTTGCCATATGGATATCAAACGAACGTCGATATCTGTACATCATAGATATTAAAGACAAATTAATAGGGGGTTTATCAACAATTGTTAGAATTTTGTTCTGTCTGTCTGTATGTTTGTAAGCGCATCACGCAAAAACTTATTTGTGGAATTAAATCAAGTTTTCACCGATGTACATACTGCTAGAGGTCTAACTGAAAATATAGAACCCATTATTTTTTTCAGTTTATCATCGATCTTTATTCCTAGGTATTTGAATGTATTAAATTTTTCCAGTGCTTCGTTGTTTATATTTAGAGTTAGCACTGCACTGATCTCAAACTTTCGCTTTGATGTTACCACAAACTTAGTTTTATTGACACTCAATTTCAGTGTGTTCAATAAAAGAAAAATCTAAGCTTTTTGTTGTTTCTGCCAAAAAATTAAGAAATCTGAGACATCACGGTTTTACAATTTCATATAGTTTTCTGTACATTGTATTTCACTACTAAACGGCTGCACCGATTTGGTTCATATTTGTAACATAACCTTGGAAATAAATATTACGACCAAAAATTTACCCGGTATGTGGCGCTGGGGTCGGGATATTCGTAAAATTCTTATACAGGCTAAAAAGTAAAAAACCATTATATCTCTAAAACCAACGCTAGGGAACTGAACTGAACTGAAACTTAGCATGGGAGCATAAATTGCAAATATTCTACTTATGGGGAAAACTGGTTGGCATTGGAAAAGGGTGCGTTGTACGTCCCATACAAATTGAACTTCTCATATAGCTTTTCTCTGGAACCGCTTACGCTAACGTCATGAAATTCGACACAGCTACATATGTTGTCAATACCGCACTTATGGCGAAAACGCGCAAGTATCACCCGATTGGGAACCATTTTCTTCTAGATTTCTAGATCCAACAGAATTATTGTAACTTTGGTTTTATTTTTTGGTAAAAGGTAAAATTTGTGGAAATATTGAAGAATTTTTTTTTAAATTTAGCACAAAGTTTGAAGCTTTGGTTTTTACGAGATTCGTTATAGACTGACCTGTCTACATACCTATATAAAAAAAATGATAGGCGTTTTCGTTGTTCGGACTAAACTCAAAAACCACTGAATAGAGTTCCGTAAAATTGTTGGAGGTTATACCTTACATACATGGTCTTACTAGCTTATACCCGCGCTTTTATACAAAAATGAAAAATAATTTAATGATGTTAGATTTTATTTATGAAATTATAACATCTCGTCTGAGCGCTAGGCATACGAAAGATATCAATCCCTCTAAGTTTACCTTAAAATGGTTCCAGGTATACCACGCGTGAACGTGTAACCTTCTTGCAAATTCCCCGGCGGGTTCTAATATTTCCAACTTNTATACCCGCGCTTTTATACAAAAATGAAAAATAATTTAATGATGTTAGATTTTATTTATGAAATTATAACATCTCGTCTGAGCGCTAGGCATACGAAAGATATCAATCCCTCTAAGTTTACCTTAAAATGGTTCCAGGTATACCACGCGTGAACGTGTAACCTTCTTGCAAATTCCCCGGCGGGTTCTAATATTTCCAACTTAAATTTAGTAACCTGACCTTGATAAAATACCACTTCTCATTACTGTAGCAAATGCCTCAAGAGAGCTTTAGATTATAAGGCCGAACCCGGCTCTCCCTTTTCCATTTAATGAAATTTATTCTGTCAGTACGGCACTTATAAAATAAACTCCATAACAAATTTAAAATACTTATTATGTATTAAGAAGGTTTTAGTATGTATTGGAGGCGACATGCCTCCTTTTTTAATAACTCACATTTTTTCCATTAGCAATTGATACATTTTGTATACACAACTCCATACCAAGTTCCAGTATTCTTCCACAAATACTTCCAGGGATATGTGGCAATAAAAAGTAAATTTGTACTGGAAGTACCACGTAATTTTTTATACACATCTCGGTGCCAAGTTCCAGTCCTCTGCAATAAACACCTCCATAGTTATGCAGCATAGAAAAATCAATTTTCATGGGAGTTGCCACACCAACTTTTCCAATAACTCTCATTTTTCTCCATGAGTATGGTATTAGTTTCACATACATACATACATACATACATATGTATTTCCATACCAAGCTTGAGTGCTTTACCCCAAACATTTGAAGAGATATGCAATATGAAACTTTCAGTCAGTATGGGAGGTGCTACGCCAATTTTCCAAAAACCTCCATTTTTCTCCGTGAATATGAACATGATTTCGCACAGTGTTGGCAAACT